GACAGACAGACAGACAGACAGACAGACAGACAGACAGACAGACAGACAGACAGACAGACAGACAGACAGACAGACAGACAGACAGACAGACAGACAGACAGACAGACAGACAGACAGACAGACAGACAGACAGACAGACAGACAGACAGACAGACAGACAGACAGACAGACAGACAGACAGACAGACAGACAGACAGACAGACAGACAGACAGACAGACAGACAGACAGACAGACAGACAGACAGACAGACAGACAGACAGACAGACAGACAGACAGACAGACAGACAGACAGACAGACAGACAGACAGACAGACAGACAGAAGACAGACAGACAGACAGACAGACAGACAGACAGACAGACAGACAGACAGACAGACAGACAGACAGACAGACAGACAGACAGACAGACAGACAGACAGACAGACAGACGAGTATCAGCCTATAAAACACGCGCCAACGACACCTCCCCCCCCCATTAACGCCCCTCCCCTGACAGCCTGTTACGTCATGTCCCATTATCTCAGCCCCACACGGCACACATCCCAGCAGACGATGACAGGACAACAATGGCGGGCGGGGGGGGGGGGGGGGGGGGGCTGACAATTAACTGTCTATTCGGCAGAACAATGAGCTGACCTTCACCTTGGGCTAAATATAGAACTGCTTGTCAAAAAGCTGCATTGTATTTCTACACATCTAATTGTTGTGAGTTATTTATAGATCCGCATGTGCAGTGGTGTAGACGGAGGGAGGTAATGTTAGGTACCTCAGGCCCCCCCTCCCCCAGGCCAGTCCGTCACACATCATGGAGCAACAAAGTACCGTGAAACTGGTGACTACGGGATTAGGTGAGTACTACCCGAGGCAGTGGTGGGGGGGGGGGGGGGTAGAGTTCCACAACACCCCCACCCCCTGAGTCCCGAATTAAAGTTGTCCCACGTTAAGGTACAGCAAATAGGGGGGTGGGGCGGGGTGATGGTGAGGGTGATGGTGGGGGTGATGGTGGGGGTGATGGTGAGGGTGATGGTGGGGGTGATGGTGGGGGTGATGGTGGGGGTGATGGTGGGGGTGATGGTGGGGGTGATGGTGGGGGTGATGTTGGGGGTGATGTTGGGGGTGATGTTGGGGGTGATGTTGGGGGTGATGGTGGGGGTGATGGTGAGGGTGATGGTGGGGGTGATGGTGGGGGTGATGGTGGGGGTGATGGTGGGGGTGATGTTGGGGGTGATGTTGGGGGTGATGTTGGGGGTGATGTTGGGGGTGATGGTGGGGGTGATGGTGGAAATTATTTTGATCTAGATGACCGTCTGACGAGATAGAGAGAAAAATGTTTCCGTTAATGGATCTGGTGATGGCTATACCTGGTTAATTGGTCACGTAGCTATTCTTAATTACTTGTCAACTGATTGGGAATCATACAAATGACTTGGTATTGTAAGTCATTCAAATGACTTGGTGTCGTGTGGGGGTAGAAGGGGACCGGTAAATCAGGTTGTCACCATAGTTGTTGCTTGACTCACATCTACGTGTTCGACACGTCCACACGCAAACACTCAGAACATAATGGTTGTTGAACAGCCCGCCAGCCAGCCAACCAAACAACCAAACAACCAAACAACCAAACAACCAAACAACCAAACAACCAAACAACCAACCAACTAACCAACCAGCCAACTAACCAACCAACCAGCCAGCCAACCAACCAAACAACCAAACAACCAACCAACCAACCAACTAACCAACCAATTAGCCAGCCAGCCAGCCGTTGGAACATTCTATTAAATACAATTAATATTATGTTTAATATAATTACAATCTACATACTAAATATTTTTAGATGAATTATAAAAATTAACATGCGTATACAACCTACACACATTACATTACATTTAATTAATCTGCACTCTCTGGATATTTAATACATAAAAGTATTAACATACTCCATGCAAATATATATTAGTGAATGTTTTTCCTGTGACTTTTTTCCTGTGACTTTTTTTCTGTTTTTTTTCCTGTGACTTTTTTTCCTGTGACTTTTTTCCTGTGACTTTTTTCCTGTGTTTTTTTCCTGTGATTTTTTTCCTGTTTTTTTTTTCCTGTGACTTTTTTCCTGTGACTTTTTTTCCTGTTTTTTTTTCCTGTGACTTTTTCCTGTGAATTTTTTCCTGTGTTTTTTTTTCCTGTTTTTTTTTTCCTGTGACTTTTTTCTTGTGACTTTTTTTTTCTACAATCGAAAATGTGTGGGGTACACGCACGTCACACACGTTCAAAGTCACACACACACACACATACACACACGCTCAAAGTCACACACACACACACACATACACACACGCACACAAACACAAACACACACACTAAGCTTCTAATCGGATCCATCTATCGTGGTTCGATTTAAAAAAAATAAATAAATCGTGACAGCTCTGAACACGTCATCAATTAGATTACACAAGACTTAAAAACGTGTAGAAATTAATTGTTTTAGATTTGTCTTCTTAATGAATGGATCGGGAGTTGATTAGGCGTGTGCATGCCTTTGGCGTTGATTGGTTCTTTTTCAGACAGTAATTAACTTAATTATAAAAGCGTGACGTACAAAGGGCTTGATAAAGTTTATGTTGTGTATGTTGACGTTTGTGTTGTGTATGTTGGCGTTTATGTTGTGTATGTTGAAGTTTATTTTGTGTATGTTGAAGTTTATGTTGTGTATGTTGGCGTTTGTGTTGTGTATGTTGGCGTTTGTGTTGTGTATGTTGGCGTTTGTGTTGTGTATGTTGGCGTTTGTGTTCTGTATGTTGACGTTTGTGTTGTGTATGTTGGCGTTTGTGTTGTGTATGTTGACGTTTGTGTTGTGTATGTTGGCGTTTGTGTTGTGTATGTTGGCGTTTGTGTTGTGTATGTTGACGTTTGTGTTGTGTATGTTGACGTTTATGTTCTGTATGTTGGCGTTTGTGTTGTGTATGTTGACGTTTGTGTTCTGTATGTTGACGTTTGTGTTCTGTATGTTGACGTTTGTGTTGTGTATGTTGACGTTTGTGTTCTGTATGTTGACGTTTGTGTTCTGTATGTTGACGTTTGTGTTGTGTATGTTGACGTTTGTGTTGTGTATGTTGGCGTTTATGTTGTGTATGTTGACGTTTGTGTTGTGTATGTTGACGTTTGTGTTGTGTATGTTGACGTTTATGTTGTGTATGTTGACGTTTATGTTCTGTATGTTGACGTTTGTGTTCTGTATGTTGATGTTTGTGTTGTGTATGTTGACGTTTATGTTCTGTATGTTGACGTTTATGTTGTGTATGTTGACGTTTATGTTGTGTATGTTGAAGTTTATGTTCTGTATGTTGAAGTTTATGTTGTGTATGTTGAAGTTTATGTTGTGTATGTTGACGTTTATGTTGTGTATGTTGAAGTGTCTTCTTTTAACAAAAAACCCTTTTCAACTGAGCTGAGACTTCAAGTTTTTCTGTTGTTGTGGGAAGGTGTAGCCAATAGCTTTAGTTGCGATTTTAGCGAAAAAGTCACAGGAAAAATGTCAAAAATGTGTCGTTGCATAGAATTTATTGATACATTTATTTATTACGTAATTAGAAAGTACCAAGCAGCATAAATGTAATTAGCTCTAATGAAGTATGTAGGTTTTTACTTGGTAGTTTCAACCTAATGTGTTTCGATTCAAAGTTGATTTTAAAAAAGAGAATAGATTAGAAATGGGAGGAAGTCGCTATTGGTGATTTGCTGTCTACCAACTCCACCATGTGGACAATCACCATCACCCACAGAGGCCGGGGTCACGGTGCTACAACGGTCACGGTGGGGACAGACAATGGCGACTGTGGGGGACAGACAATGGCGACTGAGGAAATGCATTTGGCAAAAGCACAACTTTGTAGATTTATCAAAGTGAATGTAATGATATGTTTATACATTTCGTTGACTTCATAAAATTACCTTTGTACCGGATCTTTAAATGTGTATCTAACAAAGTCCGACATTGTTATGTAGGAATCTCATGGTTTTTCTACTTGTTGTGAAGGCGTGAGGCAGATTGTTAGCGCCCATCCCAAGGTCTTGAACGTTTATAAAAACACTTGACATTTACAGAAGCGCTAAACTGTACAGCGACCTACAGGATAATCGATATTTCATTACTAGTTTCTGTGGCTATATTTCTGCGACGTTATTTCTGCGACTTTTCTCCGGTAAATTTCGCCTTTAATTTTAATGACTTTTTGTTGTAACTTCATTTCCTAGAAAAACCTGTTATTTTGTGTGTGTGTGGGGGGGGGGGGGCTTCTAGATGTGACCGTATCAATACTGAAATCACAAAATCGAATACGACACCAGAGTATCGAAGTGCACCAACAAAATAGAATACGATACCAGAGTATCGAAGTGCACCAACAAAATAGAATACGACACCAGAGTATCGAAGTGCACCAACAAAATAGAATACGACACCAGAGTATCGAAGTGCACCAAAAAATAGAATACGACACCAGAGTATCGAAGTGCACCAACAAAAAGTTCCTATTGTTTACCTCTGACAATGAAACCTGTATTTTAAAGCTAAAAATAGATCAACTCCAGATCTCTACCAAACTCACGCATTGAAAACTGAACAACTCGGATCTACTTCAATGTGGCCTGACACGAGAAAGGTTACAAGTTCTCGTTTAGTTCTCGTCTGCTCACGTTGTAGAATATAGCCGGCAGACAACCGGCACACCCGGCTAATGACTGGTGTACGGCAGGGCGCGGTATTGACGAAGCCATTATGTCGATACAGTGTTTGTCCGCCCCCTACTCGACCCGCCGGTATTGATGTTGGCGCCGCAGAATGTTCCAGAAAATCTTCCCAAAATCTACCCAAGGTCACGTGGTTCCCGGTTCCACGCCAAGCCAGACAAAACAAAAATTGTTTTTTTTTTTTCGCACCAAGTGCGGCGTGACGGTGTGGTGCGATGTTTTCTGTCCTATCTGCCTGGGTACACAATCTTACAGTCTAGACAATCTGCCCTTCTCCACAATCTGACCTTCTCCACAATCTGCCCTTCTCCACAATCTGACCTTCTCCACAATCTGACCTTCTCCACAATCTGACCTTCTCCACAATCTGCCCTTCTCCACAATCTGACCTTCTCCACAATCTGCCCTTCTCCACAATCTGACCTTCTCCACAATCTGACCTTCTCCACAATCTGACCTTCTCCACAATCTGCCCTTCTCCACAATCTGACCTTCTCCACAATCTGACCTTCTCCACAATCTGCCCTTCTCCACAATCTGCCCTTCTCCACAATCTGACCGTGTCAATTAGCGAAGTCTTTCCATTCAAACTTAGTAACCTTTGTTATGTTAATGACTTCTATTAATAGAAATCTCGATCGGGAAAATCCACACATGCCTGACGTGATTGGCTACAACTAGAGAGATACTCTCGAGACAAAACGTGTCTTGGTGTTCACGACATCATTAGACTCGCCACCCCCCCCCCCCCCCCTCAACATAAGACCCCCCCCCCCCCTACCTCAAGACGCGACGACATTGGTTCAACTCAAACAGTGAACAAATGAAATTCTTTCGGGGGAAAACATATAACTTTAGACACGTAGACACATTCGCCACAGACACACGTAGACACATTCGCCACAGACACACGTAGACACATTCGCCACAGACACACGTAGACAGACAGTGCGGGCTGTTACACCACAGTGTCTCAGGGTCTGCCTGTCTTAATGTCACAGGTTGACAGACTGTGACCCAGTTAACACATCCTGTGACCCAGTTAACACATCATGTGACCCAGTTAACACATCCTGTGACCCAGTTAACACATCCTGTGACCCAGTTAACACATCCTGTGACCCAGTTAACACATCCTGTGACCCAGTTAACACATCCTGTGACCAATTTAACACATCCTGTGACCCAGTTAACACATCCTGTGACCCAGTTAACACATCCTGTGACCCAGTTAACACATCATGTGACCCAGCTAACACATCCTGTGACCCAGTTAACACAGCTGATCTTGTTGGCTTGGCCAAAGCCTGGCGAAGTGGATACTAAATCTTCTGTAGACCCGTGTATTAAGTGCCGACCCTTGCATTAAGTGTTGACAACTTGAAGATCAAAGCAAAGTTTCTAGAACTCTCGACACCCAGACTCCCCCCCCCCCGCAAACTACTGCTGGGTACTCAGACCCAGCTCATTAACTCAAGCGGTCACTTGACGGACTGACCAGAGAGCCCAGCTGGAGGGTCATTCCCGTCAGACCCAGGGTGGGGGACAGGGTGGGGACAATGGGGGGGTCTCTGACCACCGGAAGTTGTCTGGTCAGGTGGTGGAGAGCTCAGGGTGGTCCAAGATCGATTACTGTATCGATTACTGTATCGATTACTTGTTTACTTCGATACCCGGACACGTGACCACTCGAATAAATGGTAGTTTAGTACACACATACGCACATACGCACATACAAATATTCATACCTTTCACCCCAAACATTTAACACGCGACCGTGGTAGTGCTCGCTAGACTCTACTTCACCCTCAACATTCAAGACAGTGTCTACAACCTGTCCGTCTCGCTAGACTCTACTTCACCCTCAACATTCAAGACGGTGTCTACAACCTGTCCGTCTCTACAGGTCACTGTCCAGTAGTCCATCAACAGCTCATTACGTCATCAACAAATTATTTCCTGCACCCAGAGAGTCACAAAATGAACCCACACCACAAACACTAATTAGCTATTAATGAGGTAATACCTCAAACGTTAATTAGCTATTTAAAAAAGTAGTACCTTGATATTAATTAACACTCCATGCCGTCCATACTTTAAATACGATGCCAGCTTTAGTAGAACACAGGCAGAAATAAACGAATACACTCACACCAATCCACACACTGCTCACAGCTGTTTTCACTGATGCGTGTCCAGGTGTGTGTGTGTGTGTGTGTCGGTGAGCGGCCCGTGGGTGTACCCCCGGGGTGTCACCTGTCTCCAACAGCCGACAAACACAGACCTGGCACATATGTGTATCACGTGACTCTCCCAGCCAATCAACGCTGTCGTCTTATGGACGTGACCGATGACGTAACAACACAGGTGGGGTGGGGGTGTAAGACTGTGGGTAGGGGGGGGGGGGGAGCAAGGTGGTGCGGGTGGTATGAGTGGTCGCCCTTGTTGGTAAAGACCAACGCCCCACCCCATGTCTACTCAGTGTAAGGGATCTACAGGTAGTGACTAGACTAGCAAACTTTACAAACTTTGGTTTTCTTAAACTGCCACACACAAAACTGCCACACACACAATTGCCACCAGAGGCGTAGCGACGGGGGGGGGGGGGGGGGCGGTACATATGTCCCCGGGCGCCAACCCTAGGGGCGCCAAAATGGGTTTAAAAAAAATTAAAAGCTCATTTTAGCTTCAGTTTTGAATAATAAATATTTTTAAAATATGGGGGGGGGGGGGGGGCGCAAAATTGAATGTTTGTCCCCGGGCGCCGGGAGGGGTCGCTACGCCTCTGACTGCCACACACATTTCTCTGAATTACTTAAAAAATAAATAAATAAATACAGCTTTAAAAAGTTGAATACATGTAAGCCTATTTTATAATGAACAAATACAAATTTGTTACAGAAAAACTGACCTTGGCACACTTTCTATTTATAGACATCTGCGTGTTAACTATGGGGTGTGAGCGAACCAAACATGGGCGTCTGTCGGATCAGTATGGGGGGAGGGGAGGACATGGGGAGGGGATTGTAATTAGCGTTAGGCCATGCAACACGTGCAGGTCACCTAATTAGCATATTAAGAGCTCTTAACATCAACCACCTCCAGCGCTAATTACAAACAATTTCAGGTGTTGTAAGCTGCAACAGGTGTATGTCAGTCCCCCCCCCCCATATGAATTCAAAGTTTGACAACAAAAGGACCGGGTAGCCCACGTGATGCGGGTTTATAGCCGGTGACCTTTGACCTCCAAGGTTTGAAGTATCCTCACAAGGTTCAGTGACGTGGCACCCCGTGGCTGGGAACAAAAAAGGGCTGACAAAAGCTCCGCTGCTCTGTGTGACGTTCAATGACGCTTGACCTACCCGCGGGTTGCGAAACGATTGCGCGATGTGGGGGGGGGGGGGATGTCCAATAACTGGTAGATATGGAGGCCAAGGTCATGGAATATGTTGTGACATACTGGAGGCCAAGATCATGGAATATGTTGTGACGTACTGGAATAATGAAGAGCGCAATCAATAAGACAACACAGCTGTGTCAAGGGGAGGTAAGACAAACACAAGAGTTGTGGCACTTGTCTAATATTCAACTTGATGGTGATATCCTGACACGGCGATTGGCTGTCTATTTATAGAACTGATGGGGATAATTAATTAAAAGTACCGTTAAATTAAAGGTACATTCTAAAAGTTCAATAATGGAACAGAAAATATACTCGAGTTGAGTAAACTCGTTTGCTTTGAAAGATATAAAGGATCGAATTATTGGGATTTAATTAGTATCTGTCAGCGGGCTGTAATCAAGCGTGACGGCTTTAAGGGGGAGGGATTAGGTAAATACCCGGGATGTAAGGTTAAACAGGCACCATCCCTCCACCACCCCTCCTCCCATCTGCCCCACCAGGTCCCACCCCACCCCACCAGGTCCCACCCCATCCCACCAGGTCCCACCCCACCCCACCAGGTCCCACCCCACCCCACCAGGTCCCACCCCATCCCACCAGGTCCCACCCCATCCCACCAGGTCCCACCCCTACACCTATGTTAACATGTTTGTCAACCCAGGGCAATTCAGGTAGTGACGTCAGCTACACAAACATACTGTTTGTGGACAGACAAAGCCCACTTCCCACATCACGTGATACAAAGCCCACTTCTGTCAACGACAAATTGTCGAATGTCTATGGTCGTGAGGACCATATGTATTCAACAATTTGGCTCCCGACAAAATGGCATGCGACAATTTTGCTCCTGACAAAATTGCCTGCGACAGTTGGGCCTACGACAAAAAAACTTCAAACCACGTATAGAAATATACCCACTCCACCCTTTTGTCGAGAGTCTATAGGACGGAGCCATTTTGTCGAGAGTCCTAACGACATTCAAACATTAAAATTGACGCCTTCATCAAATGACCAGGCCATGCGTGACTGACGTAATTAGGGTATCAGGTTTCCTAGCCACGCCTCCCCATCTCCTCTACTAGGTGTTTTAATTAGTTCCAACAATCACGTGTAAATAGCCAATAATTATAACTTACTGCGCGTTTGGTTTTTAGATGCAGGTAGGAAGTGTTGCAACACCTGGGTGTGTGAAATCTTGCTCACGCGTCTATTTTTAGCTGGGCCGTGACGTGGTTGTGACGTCATGGAGACACCGGGTTCTTGTGTCACATTTGCCGACAGCACCAGGCACTCCACCAGACAGAAACTCCACCACACACTCCACCAGACACTCCACCACACCCTCCACCACACACTCCACCACACACTCCACCACACACTCCACCACACACTCCACCACACACTCCACCACACACTCCACCACACACTCCACCACACACTCCACCACACACTCCACCACACACTCCACCACACACTCCACCACACACTCCACCACACACTCCACCAGACACTCCACCACACACTCCACCACACACTCCACCACACACTCCACCACACACTCCACCACACACTCCACCACACACTCCACCACACACTCCACCACACACTCCACCACACACTCCACCACACACTCCACCACACACTCCACCACACACTCCACCACACACTCCACCACACACTCCACCACACACTCCACCACACACTCCACCACACACTCCACCACACACTCCACCACACACTCCACCACACACTCCACCACACACTCCAGTCTAGATGTAGAAAAATCTAGCCTACGTGACCACGTCAAAAGACGCCATCTTTGATTGATGGCGCTTGTTTAGAAATGTAAATTGGTGTGAGTTAATTAGATTTACGGTGTGAAATGTGCGCTGTTTGCATAATTAATTAGTTTAATTAATGATGTGCTTCTTTAAACACCTGCTTAGTGCATGGCCTAGTTTTCTCAGCATTAAACACTTGTCATGTATGTGGTCAGTCAAACACATGTATGTGGTCAGTCAAACACATGTATGTGGTCAAACACATGTATGTGGTCAGTCAAACACATGTATGTGGTCAGTCAAACACATGTATGTGGTCAGACACATGTATGTGGTCAGTCAAACACATGTATATGGTCAGTCAAACACATGTATGTGGTCAGTCAAACACATGTATGTGGTCAGTCAAACACATGTATGTGGTCAGACACATGTATGTGGTCAGTCAAACACATGTATGTGGTCAGTCAAACACATGTATGTGGTCAGTCAAACACTTGTATGTGGTCAGTCAAACACATGTATGTGGTCAGTCAAACACTTGTATGTGGTCAGTCAAACACATGTATGTGGTCAGTCAAACACATGTATGTGGTCAGTCAAACACATGTATGTGGTCAGTCAAACACTGGTATGTGGTCAGTCAAACACTTGTATGTGGTCAGTCAAACACATGTATGTGGTCAGACACATGTATGTAGTCAGTCAAACACTTGTATGTGGTCAGTCAAACACTTGTATGTGGTCAGACACATGTATGTGGTCAGTCAAACACTTGTATGTGGTCAGTCAAACACTTGGTAACCGGATGTGATGTAGCCGGATGTGACGTAGTCGGATGTGAGATAAGCGACAGTGATCTAGCGTATAATGAGGTAGCCATGAGGTAGACATGAGGTAGCCATGAGGTAGCCATGAGGTAGCCATGGGGTAGCCATGAGGTAGCCATGAGGTAGCCATGAGGTAACCATAGGGTAGCCATGAGGTAGCCATGAGGTAGCCATGGGGTAGACATGAGGTAGACATGAGGTAGACATGAGGTAGCCATGAGGTAGCCATGAGGTAGCCATGAGGTAGCCATGGGGTAGACATGAGGTAGCCATGGGGTAGCCATGAGGTAGCCATGAGGTAGACATGAGGTAGCCATGAGGTAGCCATGAGGTAGCCATGAGGTAGCCATGAGGTAGCCATGAGGTAGCCATGAGGTAGACATGAGGTAGACATGAGGTAGACATGAGGTAGCCATGAGGTAGCCATGAGGTAGCCATGAGGTAGCCATGGGGTAGACATGAGGTAGCCATGGGGTAGACATGAGGTAGCCATGAGGTAGACATGAGG